GGAGTCGTCTGCAGTGAGTCTTGATCAGAACAGCAGGGAGGCTGTTGAAGCTCTCACAGGCAGAGCAGTGTGTGCAACACATCCAGTGTTGGTCAGAAAGAAGCGCTGATGCAAATGATGTAATGATGAAACAGGACGTCTCACTTCCCAAATCCAGAACGCTGCACTGGACTCTTTACATCAACGTGAGGTTTAAATGATTTACCATCATTTCTGATTGTGTTCGCTTTAACTTTAGCTGTTTAAATCTTTTTGTTTTATATTTCACCTACAGGATACAGCATAGTGTTCATGGTGTGAGTAAAAGCAGCCATGTGTGCGCTGTCTGTACCATGTGTCTGTGTCAGCATCACAGTTGCAGAAGTAGTTCATGTCGATGCAGTTCTCCTCCAGGCTGCAGGAGCACTGCTGGACTCCAGGCAGGAAGCCTCCCCAGTAGCTCCTCTTTTCTCCTTCCCGGTCCAGCCACCAAGAAAGCGGACTGCCATCTGCAACCAAACCACAGTCAGCACGCCGCTGCAAAGGACTCACACAGTACGGCAAATAAACGTAAAACCACTGGCTTTAAAAAACAACATGAAACCCAAAGACAGTTTCTTTCTTTTAATTTACAACAACACCATCGAAAAGAAGTATGAAATAAGACAAGATATTATTATTATTGTCTATTTTAAATGCTGTGATGTGATAAACAGTGAAACGACGCCACACTACCTGAAACCAAAAACACAACTAAAGGGTTAAACAGCTTCAATCAGTGTGACCCTGCTCTATGCAGAAGCCAGCTGGCACGGAGAAGCCCATTAAGCCACATGTCACAATGCATAATCAGTGTTGAATGCTGGGGGGCTCTGATCCCGCAGCATTATAGGCAGAGATTTATGTATGGATACATGTCACAGCAGTGAGCAGTGGGGTCAGAGGCCGCAAGCATCCCTGTGAAACTCCCTTTAACATCATCCATCACTTTGGCAAAACTGGTGACACAAATGTTAATTGTATGCATAAGTGAGGAGCTACAGGAACAATGAGTATGCACCAACATTTGCATTACAAAGGATGGGAATAATCCACATCTTTATCCTGTGTATTCATCGCTGTCCGCTGCACATTTTAAAATAGTCCTGAGACATCAAACAGGAACACAAACCACAGCAGGCTACAATCAATACATCCTGCA